CCAGGGAACATTAGCTCCGGTTTGCCTTTACATAGGAACACGACTTCTTGAAAGATTTCCGAAAGATAACTGGTTGACATTTTTGAGTTTGAGGCATGCAACAAGGATCCCAGACCAGAGTCAAACCAAGGACACCGAGTGCACGTGGTGTCTGATTTAGCCAACTGACAAACAAAGATACTCTTTGAATTGAACCACAATGAGCCAAAGAACCACATTTTATTCTGGCTAATGTCAGCGTCACTTTAGAAAAATCCACTCTGACACAGCTATCAACAATCTGTCACAATAGCCAGAACAAGGGATCATTGCATTTCAACAGTGTGTGTCAATGAGTATCACTCTGAGAATCCAACGAGATTTCTTCCCCCATGAGATGGAAGGTGGATCTGTCCTCACGTCCGTCCAACACATGCTCCACTGCAAAAGATCTGGCAACTGCTTATGTAATGGACAACAACAGGAGACGCTGTTTGTGTCTTGTTTGTCACCAACAGTAAACATTCTTCCTTTTGAGTGTGACCATAATCATTCAGGTTGTACTTTTCATCTAAACTGTCATCTGTCCCCAGACCTGATCATGCTGTTTTTGTGCCTGAAGCCAACCAAACCTTTACAGTAGTGGTACCTCCTGCCTGTGTGTGTGTGTGTGTGTGTGTGTGTGTACAGAATGCAGTGAGTATTGTGAACACTGGCCACACACCTGCAGAGGAGAAAGTACGCTGGTTGGGAATATGCTGTGAACTTTATTTGTATTTCACAGAGACAGATGCATTTGCACCTTCTCAACCATCTGGTTCAACTGTGTTTGAACAATTAGATTTATTTAAATCCATCCATTATCTAATCTGACGAGGGTTGCGGGGGGCTGGAGCCAATCCCAGCTGACACTGGGCGAGAGGCGGGGTCCACCCTGGACAGGTCGCCAATCTATCACAGGGCTGACATGTAGACAAACAACCACACTCACTCCTACAGGCAGTTTAGAGTCACAAATCAACCTGAGCTGCATGTCTTGGGACTGTGGGAGGAAGCCGGAGCACCCGAAGAGAACCCACGCAGGCACAGGGAGAACATGCAGACTCCACACAGAAAGGCCCCGGGTCGGACTGGGGCTCAAACCTTCTTGTTGTGAGGAGACAGTGTTAACCACAGTATTTGACATTGTTCTGTCTGATTAGATCTGAAAATCTTTACCTGAAACTGAATGTGTGAAGCCCCCTGTTTACAGTCTTTGATATATATTTCTTTTCTCCTAATATCAGTCCAAACTAAAAGATATACTACTGTAAAAATTACTTAATTTTACTTCTCTACAAATCCCCCCAACTGTCAAAGCATCGGGAGGGTAATAAGGAGTTAAAAGTCAGATTGTTTTCCTTGTGTTAACACAGCCTGTGTTTGAATGTGCCGCTGTGCTCCCCTGTCCGCGCCGGGCTTTGCCGTGCAACGACAATAATAACTCAGTGAGGAGGCTGCACTGCTGATATTTAGACAGACAGGGGTGAGTGACACTGCTGAGCCGCACAGCGAGACAGCGTCTGGCGTGAGGTTAGACCAACAAAATAAAGAGTCAGTTTGTTAGCAGTCACCCTCCCTCCTTAACTGTGAGTCTGTGCTTGGAGACCCATTGTGTTGTTGCTGCTGCTGAGTTTATAAAACCTTTCCCCAGCATTGGGGGAAAGGTTTATTTAGATGGTGGGAAATCTAGAATGGTTTGGCTGGAGAGATGTGTTGGTAGGGTGATGCTGGTCTTTTATTAGATAATTGGAAATATTAGTCATGTTGTTCCCTAACGGAGGCTCCACTATTAACCCAAACTACAAATATAATAAAGTTGAACAGGTGTGAATGTGTTTGCATCCATGTTTCTGTTCCTTCCAAAGTCCTGCTGTACTGAAGCAGCCCTGTGTGTGCAGCCTTGTCACTCAGGAAGCTTAACCCACTAATGCATGATCTGTCTGACTGGATCTAATCAGTGTTTGTGTATTTGAATGTAGTCATAATGGAGTGCTATGTGGTTTCCATGGAAGGTTGTCATCCACTGCCATGCTAGCAGCTCTGTCAGGCTGTAATTAGGCACAGCAGTGCTTTGAGCTAAATGCTAAGGTTGGAGTGCTAACGGGCTCCTGGTGTCAGTGTTCACGCTGACGTTAAGCAGAGAAATCACTGATTTAAACATGAGCTGTTCATTGTTGTGTCAATGCAGCAGCCATGTTAGGACAGGTAACCCTCCTAATGCATGTGTGTGTCTATCTACAATTAAAATCATTCTACCTCACTGAATTTACAATCGATATGGTTTGTTACAAATTCCAGAAACGTATTTATGGCACAAAAACTGTGGCTACATTAAAACTGTGGATTTTCATACCAAACCACTTCAACCTTTGCTGTTAGTGAGAGTGATTTTTAACAATTTCTTGTGATGAACCTTTTATCTTAGCATCTTAGCATGCTAACACATGATAATTAGCACATAATCCAAAGTCCAGCTGAGGCTGATGAGAATGTTTTCACTTTTGCACTTATCTGTTCATAAACCAAAGTTTGTAACATGATCATTGCGCTGGAGGGAAAGTTAAAGGGGCACCAACATTATTAATCCTGAGGGGAACGTGAATGTCTGCACAAAACCTCTTGGCAGTCATGTTGTTTTCACTGCAGAGCAGAGGGTGTGAGGGTGTTGGGGCTTAGTTAACAACGTCACCTTTTCTCTAGCACCACCTGCAGGCCAAACTTTCATGTCTTGCCCCACAGTGCCATCCGCCTGACTTTCATAGAGTTCAGTGCACCAAGCACTGAAGCTACTCAGCGAGTCACCATTACTCACAACCTTCAGATGTTTAGTCAAAGTGACTGGATCAGGTTGTTTTTATGTGTGATCCATGACAGCCGCATATTATCCAATCACCTCTGTTCATCCATCATGGCCCCATACTGAGACACAGCGCACCAGAACAGCAGCTCCAGTTACAAACCACCAGAGACTCTGCTTCACTGCCAGAATCTCCAGATTTGAACTTCAGCCTCTGGCCGCTAATTATTTCTCGAGCTAGGTCTAAACTAAATTTATGACACCATACTGGTGCTCCTTGTGGCATCATAAATTAAACTGGCAGAGAGCTTTAGAATCAAAACCAAGGACCCCTGCCCTCCAGCAAAGGAAGGAAAATTTAAAAAGTGGAGAATGTAAATGTGGATGTTCACAGGGGTGAGTTTGGAAGCCTGGTTCGGTGACCCGTCTCTCTCTGTGTTTAGGTTTCTTTGTGGATTTACTGTACCTGTTCTTTCCTGAGACTGCAGATGAAGTCTAAACCAAAACAGCATCAGTTGTTTCAGGTCCCAACCAACAGAATCAATTGAATCCGCACCGTGAGCTTTGTCGAACCCTAACCAAGTTGCTTTTGTGCTTGAACCAAACCACGTTTCACTACAGTGGTGCCAGATCACAACATTCAATTCATTTTTATTTGTATAGCTACAGTTTACACTAACAGTCGTCTCAGGGCACTTTACATAATCAGGTCTAGACCTCACACTATTAGACAAAACCCCCACAAAAGCAGCACTCGGCGACAGTGGGGAGGAAAAACTCCCTTTAACTGAGGAAACCTCTGACAGACCCCGGCTCTTGGTGGGTGGCCTTCTGCCTCGACCGGTTGGGGTGAGTGGATAGAGGAGAGACAAAAGAAGAAAAGCAACAAGACACAACAATCAAACACTGATCAGGTCGATGTGGCTGGTGACTGCTCGTCAGAATCACATACATTCAGACTAATACATAAAGAACCTACAGAGGTATGTGCAGTGATTAGTCTTGTCCATGTGACATGATTTCCATACTTCAATTTAAATTATGAAGAGTGAAAATGAAAATTCAAGTCATAGTTTTGTAGTTTTGTCTAGTCGCAGGCAGCCTCGCCTTCCTGAATAAGACACTACAGGCCAGATACAGTAACTGAGACTGGAGTTACAACGAGTCACAAGTTACACTGGAAGTCATGAATACTGTACAATCACAGGGAAGCTTTTTCTGAATTATGAGTACTTTAAATACTTTGTGTACTTGTGCTTAAAAATACACATACTTTTACTTAAGTAACCCTTTTAGTGCAGGAATTTTACTTGGAATAATTTGGGTGGTTTTACTTTAATGAAGAATTTGAATGCTTCTTCCACCACTGGTGTTACTGGTTTTAAGTGTGTGTGTGTGTGTGTGTGTGTGTGTGTGCCTGACAGCACCCTAACCCGTTTGTCCAGAGAAACCTTTATAGAGAAACTGGCTTCATACATAATGCAAAGATTCTCTCTAAGTTCATTTTGCTGGGGGAGGGGGGGTGGGGGGTGCCGTTGACTGTACAGCTTGAGTGAGTCAATGGGGGGAGGAAGACTAGAGAAGAAATATTGCTGCTAAACGACTCTGGACAGATGACATCACGGGCTAATTAAAACAGCTCTCTGGAATTCCGTTTCCAATTCCTGCGTTCAGGTTTGTTGGAGGATTTCTCGAGCACCTGCAGGCTGGTGTGTCAGTGAAGTATTTTCACTGGACTGAGTTCAAACTTTGAAGGAAAACAGAAAAAAACGGAGGCAGCGGCATTACGCCATTCTTGCCTCTCTTGGAAAAAAAGTGTGATTTAAAGAAGTTTCTTACAAGATATCCAGCAGAATAGAGCCGTGGAGGGTTCAGTGCACGTCCACAGCTCCTCAGCCTTTTCTCGGGTTTCTGCACTTCTGTCACAGGCAGGGTCTCTACAGCACTATGGTCCCAACACATGACGCACTGGAGAATAAGGCTCTGCAGGATCTGATTCTTCAACTTACCGATTTCACTTACAGTCCACATCGTTGCTTTAACAACCTGGCATATGTCTATAGTCCATTTCAGACGGGAGCAGCACTTTTTATTCATTCCT